GCCAACCCCTTTCTCCCTTATCTCGACCAAACCCCCCAAACCCCTTCTCTCTTATCCAGCCCCCTTTCTCCCTCAACCCGACCAAACCCCCAACCTCTTCCCCTTCATCCCGACCCCTTCCCCCTCATGCAGGTTATGAAATTACTAGAAGAAATCTCAGAATTACTCACAGCGACACCATGATTAACAACTGCCTTCAAGGGTGCCAATTTTCCATTATCTTTAGTCTTAGGCATCTAACTTTGTCTCTTTACACTCATTTACGTTTGCTAACCCAAATTGGATAGGAATTAGAATCGGAATCAGAGGAACGCGTACGCTTTAAAGAATGGGCGGGATTGGGTGTTGCAGAGACCTTGTAGTTGCGATTCTTCAAAGAATTCTAATTACGTTTTAAATCTTCAAGCCTCATTATCACCAAACCAATTAAATCAACAATTAACAATAGACGAAGAAAGAAAGATTGATTTCAACAAAAAAAGTTGTGTGATTTTGTTTCTGCCAAAGTGGGTTTTGGCCAAGCGTGTGATTGATTTTGAAGGGTTTGTTGTATGATATGAGAATCAGAATGGAATGAGAGAGAGAGAGAGAGAGAGAGAGAGAGAGAGAGAGAGAGAGAGAGAGAGAGAGAAGGGAACTGATGGAGGAGTATGAGGGGTTACTAGATTACGACGAAGTAAGGCACAAGAGAGAAAGGAAATATAACCTATATTTTAATTTTAATACGTAAAAATTATAATAAAATTAATATGATTTCTTAATATTTAATTACACCTAAGTCAAAAAAGTGGACCTTGCGTTTGCCACATCATCATTTAACAGAAGACCAAACTGTTATACTGACGGAACCTGTAAATTGGTTGAATTTTAAAATGTTAGGGCATAAATTGACAAAATTGAAACTCTGTGGCCTATTTGAAGAATGACCCCAAACCTGGAGGGGGTTAAAATGATGTTACCTCTTATATGGCTATTCCTCGTCTTTTGAAATTGATCCGCCTCTTGCATAAAGCTTGAAAAACCATTGATCTATCAAACTCTAGGAGAAACAAGAATTTAAAAAAAAAAAAAAAAAAAAAAAAGTGAGTAGAAAAAGTATACTTTTCCGAATTCACCATCTTGATACATTCTATATCAAAACGAATGAAGACATAGATGCGGAGATAGAACTTGTCAAGGGTGATGAAAATGGGAAAAGCACCCACATTTTTATTGATACCTCAAACAAAATCACATCATCAAGTATTAAATGAAAGGCCTGTAAGTTAAGCTAGAAATCATTGAAGCTGACGATTAGGAGGAGACAAAGTAAGTAATATTTATTTTTTTCTTTCATTTTTGAGTATTCATAATTTCCATTTACTTTAGTTAGAGTATCATTATGAATAATTTTATATTTAATATTTATTGAGTAGCACTGAAAGCTCTTTGGATTCTGAGGAATGAGACACCGACGGAGAGGACTCCGATAAAGACAACGACAACGCAAGTAGCAGTAGTCGCAATGAGGAGTAATTTAATTATTAGTTTGTTATGTAATTTGAAGTCTTCAGACATAATACTCTGTGTAAATTTAACATCATTAAGTACATGAAGTTTCCCAAAAAAAAAAAAAAAAGAGGGACACATTAAATTATCATTTCCTAGTAATAGTATCTCCAAATTTGAACAAAATAAAAGGCAATGATAGATGAAAAATTCTTCAAACCTCGTGCATATATTGTTTGTTTCCCCACAGCATGATCAATGGAATAACAACCTTATCAAGTGAAAGACTATCTAAGGAGGCAAAATTTGAATGCCATCGTAACAAAAAATGAAGAGAGGCATTGAAGAAGGCAGTAATCTCTAGGTAAGTCTTAAGGTTTTATTAAATGTGCTAATGTTGGTGCCTTTATAAAACATAATGAGAGAATATGAAATTATGCAATCATCATTGGAGGTAATTGAGGCGTTTGTGGATATATTTGCAATGCAACACTCGAACTACCTTGCTTCATTGATGCTACATTTCTTATTACTTGCACAAGCATTCCTCCATGCAACAAGGTAACATCAATGAAACCCTTCGATTGTAGGTTGGAGGAAATGCAATATGTTGATTTGGTGCAAGTAATAAAAAACATGATTCCAGATTGGGATCTTGATTACAGGTTGGAGGACATGCAATATGTTGATTTGGCGCATTGCCTTGATGTTTGGAGAATCTACTTGTAGGATCGAAAGTTCATTGTAAGGACATGCGTGTTGCACAATCATATATACAACATAGGTAGAAGAGTCTTTGAATGATTCCAACAGAAAGGTGATCTCGATAGAGTCAAGTGAAGAGAAGAAACCTGTGGAAGAGTAAAAATAGAAGGTTGGGCAAGTTTGCCTGTAAATCTGTGTGGGTTTACTTGATTATACAAGCTTGTTAGAGTGTATTGGTGTAATCACTTGTTTCGTTGCATTGAACTAAAGAAGCCTTAAATGTTGGAGGCATGCGAGGGTTGAGCTTAGGAGGTGTCTAAATGTAAATTATAGTGTGTGTTGCAAATATCTGCCAACGGTTCAATAGTCTAAATGAAGTCATGTATTCCACCATTCATTATCTTTATATTGCATCAACATCCATTGACCAATCACCTTAGTGTTTCACTCATGATTACATGTCAATCATAAGTATTAAATGGCAATAGAATAGAGCTTTAACTATTTTTGGGTTCGTCTGGCCTAAGGGTATTTTTATCCCTTCATGCCATGAGAATGCTCGTTTAAGAAACTCTCGAGAATGCCCATCTAACAAACTCATAAGGGATTCAAGGTATTCACACCTACAACAAAACAATATAAAATGTAGGTTCACATTAAAAAATATTTTTATCCTCAAATACACCAATCACATCAATATATATATAATATTATATATATCTATGTGGTCATTCACACAAAAATACCACCAATACAATCATAACATAAGTTCCATGGTCCACAAATCTCAGTTAAGAAAATTTATTTAAAACAAAACATGTTTCACTTACCCATTAACTGTTGACGAACAAGTTCATATGCTTTAAATTAGTTTAAGCAGTTTATGAAAACACCAACATCATGTTAATTATATTCATTAACATTCACCTGAATCACATTATAATAATATAATAATATGTGATTTTATTCACAATCCAAAAAAGTTTTACTTACATCTTGTCCAAGCTATACAACACTGCTAAGCTCAACGAATCTAACAACATTGAACTTTATACTCCAGAATCCTCATTGAGCACGCAAGCTTCAACAATTCCTCAAAATCACAGCGGAAACCACTGAAAAAGCCCAAGATCTATGCAATACATAATTATCTGACCAAGTCTTTGAGAGATATTTCATATGAAGAACATGTTGTAAGGTTTTTTGGGATCAAAAGCATGACTTAGATACATATTTACCTAATCCATGCATATTTCTTAATTTGAACATAATCCATTCGAAAAAAAAAAAACCAATTATTGATATATATTGTAAAGGAATAATTGGTAGAAGGCATATTACCTATAAAGGTATGTACATATCAATCTCTTAATTAAAAAGGCCATGGGTCCATTACACACACACTCTCTCTCTCTCTCTCTCTCTCTCTCTCTCTCTCTATATATATATATAATTTGCTCAATAATGTAGGTATAGCCTTAAATTAGCATGAATATAATTCTAAATAACCTCTTTTCTTTTATATAATAGGTTATACTTTTATGAAACATAACCACCCATGTTATCTTTTCTTAATTCTAAAAATAAAATAAAATAAGAAAACCAATTGACACATGCATGAGCACGTACTAAGGGTCTAGTATAGATAAACATGATGGATTGCATTGAAGAGGACTAGTCATACACATACAAGATAATTAGTCACAACCTTATGCATTCTATAATTAGAGACTAATAACTTGAGTCATAGACTCATAACCCACGAGCTTACCAGTAAGGGGTTTTTTTATAAATATTTTAGCTTCTCTGATAACTTTTTCTTTTAATATTTATTTTCCAAACATCCTTCTCGATTGTTGTATGATTTTTACGATAAATCTTGTTGTGCGATTGCCCAATTGCGGGGTTTTTATGAAACAGTTTCTTTTGACAAAAACCAAACATCTTGTATGACAAATTATGTAAGTAGGGATGAATTATCTAATGAGGATACTACTGCTCACCTTGATTTAATTGATTATTGATTCTTCCTCTCTCTCTCGATATCAGAAGTAGCGGATCTCAAGCCTATGCTCAAGGCTTTTCTTCTTGATCCACTCTTCATCTTCATCAAGTTTCCATTTCATTACCATTTGTTCAATCATTCTTTAATCTGCATTTGCAATCCATTTCAAATTGTTCTTCTGGTTACTAACAGCACCTTTCACCACCACCTTTTTGATCTCCAGGTAATCAATATTTTTATTTTTCGTTTCTTCATTTGGGTATGGTTGAATTCGTTCTAATGCTTTTTTTTTTTTTTTTTTGTTCTTTCGATATTGTATTTATTACCCACTATAATGGATACTATGAGAACTGAGTCGTTTTATTTGCTAGGAGTTTCTTCAATTCAGATTGATACCCTGATATTGGTTTTGAGGTGCTAATGGGTTTTGTATGTAGTTGGTTACAATTTTGCTACTGTTGAGCATTTTAATTTCTTAAAGCAAAATCTGGATTTTTTTAATGTTTTCAAGTTACTGTAGTGGTGTGTGTTTGATTTTGGTTTAGGGATCCCATAAACTGTGGTGGACCAATTATTTTCTTTCTTTGTTGGCCAGCATTTCATTTTTGTTGATTCCACCAGCCTTCTGCTATTAGAGTAGTACTATCAACGGGAACATCTATTGACTGGTTTTACAAGTTCACCTTGATTTTTGAAGAGCATGACAATTTGCTTCTTGGGAGATTAAGTATTTCGATAATGAGTTGATACTTTGTGGAAACCCAAGTGGTGTTTTTGAGAAAATTGATTAGCGTTGTGGGTTATGGAGCACCTGCCTGTTGAGGTCATTGGTAACATACTGTCCCGGCTCAGTGCTGCGCGAGATGTGGTGGTAGCCTCCACAACATGTCAGAAATGGCGAGAAGCTTGCCGCAAACACCTTCACACGCTTTCATTCAATTCCAATGATTGGCCTGTGTATCGGGATTTAACAACTAGTCAATTGGAAATCTTAATAACGCAAACAATTTTTCAAAGTACTGGATTACAAGGTCTATCAATCTTAATGGATGATGTTGAAGAGTTCTTGGGTTCCACTGTTATTGCATGGCTCATGTACACCAGAGAAACGCTTCGGCAATTGTCTTATAATGTTCGGACTGCTCCAAATGTAAACATTCTAGAAATTTGTGGGAGGCAAAAGTTGGAAATGTTGGTCTTGGGCCATAATTCTGTCACAGGAGTCGAACCCACATTTCAGAGATTTCCTTGTTTGAAATCTCTTTCTTTTGAGGTACGTTAGTATTTCAGCATTGGATCTGAGCCTTTTGCTAAGTGCGTGCCCAAAGATTGAAACCTTAGAACTTGTCAACCCAGAGATAGCAATGTCAGATGCACAAGTGACTGTTGAGCTGAGCAGTCCAACATTAAAGAGCATTTATGCAGAAAGAATCAGTTTGGAAAAGTTTATATTGGAATATCTTTCAGCGTTTGCACATGAAAGCTTGTGCTCTTGAGGTCTTTGAACTCATTGGAAAGGGGACCTTGAAGCATTTCAAGATTGATGATGTTAGTGTCTTTCATCTTGATAACGGTGATAATGTTGAAAACCTTGAGATTGTAGATATTAGCAATTTTACAATTATATGGCCAAAATTTTACCAGATGATCTCGAGATCGTCAAAATTGAGGAGGCTTCGGCTATGGGATGTGATTTTTTATGATGAGGATGAGATTGTGGATTTAGAAACGATTGCTGCCTGTTTACCACGGCTGAGTCATTTGTCATTGAGTTATGATTTAAGAGATGGAGTGCTTCACTATGTTTTGCAAGGATCTTCTCATCTGGAGAATGTTACTTTCTTGGAGCTTGGGTGGACTCTAATCAATGATCTCTTCATACATTTTGTTGAAGGGCTGTTGAAACGATGCCCAAGTCTTAAGAAATTGGTTATTCATGGGGTTTTTTCAGAAGCCAAAACCCATGAAGAATGCCAAACGTTAGCAAATTTCACCTCATCCATCGTCCAGCTCATGAGACAATACATGTATGTAGAGGTGCAGTTTGAGTACGAGTAGAAACATTGCAACAAATATGTGAAATTCCAGTTTTGTTCAATTGTAAAAGCGCATATGCAGGTAAATTTTACAGCTTGTTGAGCATGAGCAGCTTTTTGCATTCTATATGATAGTTGATCTGTCTTCCCCTGATTGATTTAGTAGTTTCTTAAACAAAAAATGGCTCAAGATCTCTCTCTCTCTCTCTCTCTCTCTCTCTCACTCTCACACACACACACACACACACAGACAGAGTTACATGCTCATGTGCAAAAAAAGGTGTGCACACACATCCACACATGCTAGTGCACACTGTTTTCTGTTGTTTTTCCTTGCTGATTTGCCTCCTTTTTCTTATGTCGCTTTTGTAATCTTTCTTCAAGTGCCTTCAAGTTCCATTGATCGGAGTTACACAGTTTACCCCTGGTATTTGTCTCGGTTGTCTTTTTTCCTTATTTTGTTGTAACTTATAGTTGTGGTAGCAATGCAGTTACAAATTTATTGTGATATTACTGTCACTTCTCCCAAATTTGAATGTTATTATGCTTCCACTTCAGAAGGCATCTGTCTTTTATATGGTTGAGACTGTAGGTTTAAATACAGTTATTCACTGGAGCTACTCTGATTCAGAAAGCATACATCTTATTGCTATTTTAAATCTATTTTAAAATCACTGATTTTAGGAGAAGAAAGACTAAAATAAAGTGTGGTTGTAATTTTTCTGTCTGTTCACTTAAAGCGTTGAGTATTATCAATGGCTGGCAATTGGGGCCTTGATTACCTCATTCAATGAAAGGATCCTCACTTGTCAGCTATATGTTGGCAGATGGGTAGGATTGCCGAGTTCTGAATTAGGGTAACATGTGAAAAAGGATTTTTTTTTTTTTCTTTCTCTACTGGCATCTTATGATTTCTATAACAGATGACCATTTCTTCTTCTTTTGGTTTTAAAGGATTGTCGAAGTGTTAGTCCTTATAAAGAGGAGTGCGCTAGGAGTTAGAGCCAGGAAGAGTAATTATGTTTGAGAGACCTTGAAATTCTTATAATTGGTTGGGGGCTGTTGAACAGTGAAAGATGTCAGCTTACCTGACTATCTTCACACCTATTTCATTTTATAATGACAACTTATTATAATTTATGATACTGTTTACTTAATTGATCTCTGTGACCAGTTAGCTAGTATTTCCAATATTCTTCAAATGTACATTAAAATATCTTCGTTGCATGTTGAATGTCACATCTCCGCCATCATTGATAGTTTTGTTCCTCTGCTACATTCTTTTTGGTGATGTGAAAAGTTTCTTGCCCTTGTTGTGATTAGTCCATCTTGGAGTTTATGTCTCTTGTTTCTGCACCAGGAGCTTTATCTAATTGAATTGATGATAGATAAACTGCATTCTCATAAATAGTCATATGTTGATGCATGTGCCTGATTCATCAGCTAAGTCCACTTCAGTGATCAATATGATCATTCCTTGCTAAGGCTAATTTATGATAGCTGAAGCCTGGATTTCTGGTTAGATAGGCAGTTGCAAAAGACAGATGCAATGGAAAGATATAGGAAAAAGAATGATGAAATTAATTTAAAGACTGTCAGTTGATTATAGAAACAAGTGTAACGTTTAGTTGTGTGATAGATAATAGAGAATGTTGTCTGAATATAATGAAAAATTAGGCATCTTGCTTTTTCAGGTTTCTTTTAGTTTTGGTTTTTTAGCATGTTGTCCATTGGGATATCAGACACCAGATTGTGTCTTCTGGCCTTTTCACCTTGTATTCTAGATGAGGATTTTTATCATTTTTGTTTTTCTGTGTTGGGGTATTGAGCGGTTTGCAACCTGGAGTCTTTGAGTATCTATCCTCCTCTGTTTGATTGGATCTTCACATCTTGCATTAATTGTAGTGTGAAACAGGAGCTATGCTGCTAAATTTCTTCACGAGAATACGTATACAGGCTATGATACATATCTACACATATATGGTTGAGTTCAAAGAAAGAGTTCTGTGGAAAACGGTAATGTATGATCTTTTGGACTCATTAATTAAGTATAAAAACGCCATATTAAGACACTAAACAATTTTTTTTCCATAGACTATGTCTTTGCATGGCGCCTGGAAATGCACATGGAGTCTTCGGCCTTGACCACTGTATGTTATGGAAATGAACATAGTATTTGAGGCTATGTAGCATTCAAGTTAATATACCACATTTAAGGCATACTTCGACCACTTGTTTATACCATCCCATTTTGGTTTTTATATGAGACATTAGGGTCACCAATTTGTTCATCCAGAGGTTTATGGGATAAGGTGCTTCACTGATTTTCATGTTCTCTTCCTTCCCTGTTTTCAAACTTAATATTCTATGGCATTTTTTCTGAGTTTTGAACAGCCAGAAAACTGTTATGTGAAATGGTTATAGTTCTAAGACCATAGAGTGAAAGATTCCTACTCAAAATTATGGTGGTTAAGACTTTTTGAAAAAGTAGGGTCTGTTGAGATATATTTTTGTTGTGCTCTGGCAATCTCTTTTCTAACATGGACAGGAATATAAAGGCCACTGGGCCAGTCGTGCCCACCGTTTCTGGAGTATTTCTTGAGGTGCTAATTGCATAAAAAGTTGGCACTAGGCATTAGCAGAGTCCCACATTGCCTGGGTACCTTTGAGATGTGTTGTAAGCTGATTTTATGGATGTGTTCTATTGATAGATTTAACATGGTATTAGCGATAGGGCAGGTGTGCTGCAGGGATGGTGGGTTTGCATAGTTGCATTTCCTGCCCGAAGTAGAATGGGAGAGCCGAGTGGCTTCAGCCCTAGCTCTGAGATGAAGTGTTAGCCTACTTTGACATTGCCTTGGTACCTTTAAGATATGCAACATATAAACACGAGACCCTCTTATAAGCTGGTCGTAAAGGATGAGTTCTACTTACAGGTTTTCTAGTCATTGTGGATCAGTCACATTTATCTAGATATGTTTTGTTTGCAAAAATCTCTGAACTTCCAACATACAATAGAAAGAGCCTGATGGTCAAGTGCTTATTCTCATGTTTCTTTCTGATCAAAAGACATTTGGAGGCCCTGGGAAGACGCTCTGTTAAATCTGATCATGGCCAAAGCCTGCCCTTGTCTTTGAAGTATGTTGATGATTACGGATTTTTGTTGCACAGAAGTTTCACAGGTACTTGAGTATACAAGCATTGCATTGATTGCAGAGTTATTTGTTGTTCCCACAAATACATTTTCAAACCGGCGCTAAATTGCTTGTGAGCATCCTAGTGGTGGTTCCTCGAATCATAACTTATTATGGTGTTACTCTGCAAACTTGTGTAAAGTTTTTGATATTTTTATTCAATATAATTATGAGATCATAAAATTGGATTAGAAGTGAGAAAGTTTTAATACAGTTAGCTTATATGCTGAATCTGTATTGTTAGATTGAATCGTCATGTAATGCTTCTGCTTTGAGACTTTGTATTTAAAACTTGTAAACAAATTTGGTGTCGTTTGCCATCCTGCAAAAGATCATACAATGTTCCCACCTGTCCAAGGCAAAATGGTCAAACTCAAGTGCATGAAAGAAACAGATGCATGAAGGGATCGTACGAATAGTTCAGTGGTCAAACTCAAAACCTACTTTCTTTATTGCTGGCTTTGGAAAATATGAACAAATTTGTAACAGCCCAGGTTGGTCAGAAGGCGAGGTTTTTAGTTCTGAACCCTAAAATAAAAATCCCAATGATGGTTTCTAGATTTGAAAATTTCATTTCCTTAGCCGGTCAATGATTTGTGCACAGATTATGTGATCTACATGAGTAATTAGATCTTGAAAATAATCTACTCAAATAGATATTCATCATATGCAAGTCAATATCATTTTTCATTACGCTAGATCTCGTTGGCTGGCTCTAGAGTCCTTAGATGTGTTAGAAATTACGACTCAGATGAGTGTTTTGTCGGGGAAGGTTGTGAGCAAGCTACCGCTCAGTGAGATAGGCTACTGGTCGGCCCACGGAACTCACTACCCTGGCCCACTCTCCTAATCCTCATACAAATTTCCCTTTTTATAATCCAAGGCTATTCCCCTCTGAAATAAATACAAAACTGTATGCGCATTTTCTCTCTCTTTTCTGGTGTGCAAATTGTATTATGCAATGCCACCGCTGCACTTGATGACCGCTTTAACAACATCTGGACTTCCAAGTCCTTCCAATCCCAATGGCAGCATGCATCACACACCATGGGATAAGAAAGTAACAATTAATTACAATTTGGAAACTTAATCTGTCACATGTTGCAATTAAGAAACATAATTACAGTGAGTTTCTTAGATTTGCTCATGAGTTTTGCTAATCATGATTGAGTTCATAATTACTATCTTAATTGGATTCACTGCTAATCATTGCCCAACATAATAATCTTATTGTTTTTGGTAAAAGGTCAACGGTAGGATCTATCTCAAACACAGCTACCTTTCATGGCATCCCCTACTAAATCTGTGCATTTTACCTATAAAGATGCAGAAGATACATCTAACCTTACAAATGTGGACACGCATGCAATAAAATGATGTCTTAATAATAAAATGCAAGTTGGGTCTGGTTCAATTCAAGCCAATAATACTATAAAAACAACTACATTAATATATTTTAATCTAAGTCCTCTTATTGCTTAGGTGACAAGCAATTATGACTAAATCCAGTTTAACATAATCTACGAGGCCATAATTAAAGTTAGAATTTAAGCCCACCCAATCAGCTATTTCCACACAAGCAAAAGAACATATAAAGAAGTACAATTAGGGGGAATATAAGATCTATGCAATACATAATTATCTGACAAAGTCTGCTTGAGCGATCTCTCATATGAAGAACATGTTGTAAGGTTTATTGGGAGCAAAGGCATGACTTGAGTACATATTTACCTAATCCATGAATATTTCTTAATTTGAACAAAACCCTTTTTTTAAATAAAAAAAAAAAAACCAATCATTGGTATATATCATAAGGGAATAATTGGTAGAAGGCATATTACCTACAAAGGTAGTAGATGAGCATAACATAAAATATTAATGTTATATACATATCAATCTCTTAATTAAAAAAGCCATGGGTCCATTACAAACTCTCTCTCTCTCTCTCTATTTATATATTTTCCCCAATAATGTGGGTTTAACCTTAAATTAGTGTGAATATAATTCTTAATCAACTCTTTTCCTCTATTCTTTTTTGTGCTAAACTTCCTATTAATCTATAGTTATTTTCCTTCTAATGACAGTTTTAATTGGGTTTGTAGCTCCTCAAAGAAACTATAGGTTTGGTACACACTGAAAAGAAACAAAAAAAATACACCTAATGTTGGAATTAGGAGTAGTTTATGAAAGCAAACTCAATAAATCCACCGTGACATTAGACCCCCTGGCCAGAACTCAATAAACATATTTCTATTAGTAGTAAGGAATCTTAATTTGCCATGGTTTTAGGTAATGACAGGGAATGGATGTTGACCCATCAACAAAGGTGATAATACCAAACAAATCCATCTCAGAAGCAGGGATTAAATATACATAAGTGGGCTTTGCTTGTGGATTATTATATTCTAATGTTTTAGTTGAAAATGGTATAAGCAAAAAACTTTACAAATATTTTTTTTAAAACCTCTCTTTCTCAAAGGGCCCCTCCCTACCCCCTAGTTGTCAGAAATAAACTCCATCCCCTCTTTTGGGCCAGAAAAAAGATCACAGAAAACCCATTTGCAGCTTTTCCTTTCCTCCTCAGTCCTCGACTTTTACCATCTTTTGTGAAAGAAAACCTTGTCTCATCTCATATAAAAATGATGAATTCATTGTTATTTATTTTTATTTATCCTGTAAGTACTTGCATCTCTGAAGAGCACAATAAAAAAGAACCAATGGCATAGCACAGGCGGTTAGAAGAGAGAGAGAGTGGAGTAGGAGTCAGTGATTCCAGTGGGTTCCTGCCAAAGACCCCACACTTGATTTTTCAATTTTTTTTAAATTTTTTTCCTCATTTAATATTATAATATATGTTTTTTTTGTTTTAAATTTTCTGTTTTCAAACCCCACACACCCAAGAGGCCTGAGCTGAGAGACAGGTCTTGCAAGGACAAGATTTTCTGTACCATGGGATGAGTTTCAAAATCTGATAATATTTACTAGAGAGAGAGAAGGGTGATAAAGCAACCTCAAGCACAGACAGAGTAATCAATTAGCTTTCTTCATAGAGAAGTAGAGAAAGGAGGAGACAGAGACACCCTCCTCACAAGGAGAGAGAGAAAGAGAGAGAGGGAGAGAGAGAGAAGATCAAAAGTTGCAAACAGAGACATAAATGAGAGAGAGACTTACTGGACCCTCTCTCTCCAGTTGCTTCTTTTAGATTATATCCTTTGATCTTTGCTGCTTTGCTTTGTGTATATGTCTCTTTCAAGTTCTTTGCTCCATATACACTTGGTCTAGGCATCTTAAAGCAAAACAATTGAGGTAAAGAGAGAAGTGAAATTCCTGGGAAATTGTTTTCCCATTCCCAAGTCCTCTGTTTCTTCTAGCTAACTGAAAAAAAAGGAACAAAAACAAAAAACAAAAGTTTTCTTAACTATGGCTTTCATTTCTGCTACATGTCCCGATTCCAGCTTCTTCTTGGAGTACAAAGATGAAAATGGTCTGAGAAAATCTTGCATGGCGAGTCATAGAGTTGGAGAGACTGCTACTGGTTTATCAGAATCAGGACCTTCAAATCACCATGTTCCTTATGCTGTTCTTCATGGGATGAATGCTCCGTCAACCAGTTTTCTGTATGATATCACATCAATTTCCAAACTTTCATTCAAATATTGCAATTTCAAGACTAATTTCCACTTGGGTTTCTTTTACTTTTCCAATTTGATTAGTTTTTTTGCTGTTTGTTTTTCTCTGATCTGTTCATGTTTTTCTTTTGACA